GTTCATCTTCCAAATTAAAAGTAAGTCAAATTTGTAGGACCACTACCAGAGAAGAAGGATTTGAACCACAATAGTAGCCATACATCTCTTTCTATCTTTTCTAGTTTCGTTTATTGGTAAAAAATCAAGTTGGATTTATTCATTAACACGTTCACACAAGATAATGACTTATTTGAGCAGATTGATGTTAGAATCCGATTTCGGTTACTCATTTGAGATTTAAATGCATCGAGTTACTCGTTTTCTGCTTTTTAAATATTGTCTTGATATTATGTATCCTCCTTTGTTATGATGGGATTTATTCATTAACACGCTCGTGCAAGATAATAACTGATTTGCGTAGATCGATATTAGAATCCGAGTTCGGTTGCTTATTTGAGATTTAAATGCATCGAGTTACTTGTTTTTAACTTTTTAAATATTGTATTGATATTATGTATCTCATTTGTTATGATGAGATTTATTCATTAATACGCTCATACAAGATAATGACCGAGTCCTGCGGCTCGAAGATTTAAATGCATCGAGTTACTCGTTTTCAACTTTTTAAATATTGTATTGTATTATCCATCGTTATGAGTATACAAAGGATGGCAGTCAAATCCAAAATATTCAATATTGGCTAATGGCCATTGGCGTGTTGAACGAATGGATAGAAGCGTGTTATTGATGTGTCGTCTTTATGAGGGGGGCGCCTAATAATACAAAAAAAACATTATATAACTTTCAAAGTCAATAATCGTTATCCCATAGGACCAAAACTCCATTTAATTGTATTCAATTAAAGAGAGAGAGAGAGAGAGAGCTGCATGAGAAAATTAGTAAGGAGATTTGGTTAGGCAGATGTGATGATTATTTTCATAGTGATTAGACAAAAAGTTTGAAACCGACCCTATCTACAGACTATAGATATAAAAGCACGTTTGTATATAATTATTTATAAGAAATAATATATTACAATTCAACGTCGAATAACATAGGCTAAGCAATAGTAATATGACATATCAATTAATATCAATTAACTGTTTGATCATTTAAAATTTGGGACTTGCAATTAACTTTTCACATATTAATTGATATACCATGTCATCGTTCATTTAGATTCATCTCGTCTTTAATAGCTTAAAATTACATAGAAAGTCGACATTCAATATAAAGTGGGGTCAGTATAGCTACATAATCACGCTCCTAAAAGTATGTATCTTACGTCTAAAGAATTATCAAAACATAAAATCATTGACGTTAAATGATATAGTCATTTATTATGTTGAACCAAGAAAACGAAAGAAAGAAAAAAGAAAGTCTATATTTATAGCGTTCACATTAGTAAATATATTTCGCTCTCTTTCTCATTCTTATCTATACGAATTTAAATATTATAACAACTTAAAAATTGTCTGTCAGTGACAATTTAAAATTCTAATTCAACATTTTTCGATCAATGACGAGAGAAAAAAAAGGTGCAATTTTTCATAGACCGCACATTTGGTCTAGACACCTAATTTTCTTTTTGTCTTTCTCACTATCTATTGTTCTATACTTTTTTTAAATAACATAGCCATTTAAATGAACTGTGTGATTAGACAAGAAACGGTCGAAAGTGATATATAATTCTTTTCACAGTGTCTGAACTTTTAACAAAAAAATTCTATCTAACTTAGTTGTGGCAATCGAGTACGAGCGGCTCGTTTTTTTTTTTTTAAGAATGATAGTTAAAAAAAAAAATTTTAAAAAAACGAGCCGAGCCAAGCGGCTTGCTACAGTACGAGCTCATGGGCCTCGGCACGTTTTATAACGAGCCACGAGCTCGAGCTCGTGGGCAACGAGCCGAGCCGAGCCATTTGCCACAGCTAATCTATCTTTAACATGATAGATACTAAAGTGTGAAGTTAGTATCTATTATTGGAGAAACCCACTTGTACAGAATTGTTTCTTCTGTCATTTGGACAGAATACTCACATGGGCGTGGGTCCCATGTGAGTAAAATATTATTATAAAAAATGGGGCCCATCCCATGTGTGTATTCTGTGATTTTTACAGAATTATTTTTCTGTAACTGTAGTATCTTTCTCTATTATTTTATCGAGTAAATGACTTTACTTAATGGACATACCCAAGTGAATGATACACAATTTTTTAGTTTCTATTCTCTTTCTTTTATATTTTATAACATTATTTAAGTTATTTTACGAGACATATCGTAAAGGAATTACGTTTGATAATCGTGGTTAAGTGAATTAAGATTTGAGTAGATAAAATTATATGTCCAAATAAAGCTTCATCCTCCAAAGTATGTTTGTTGCTATGTAGGAGATACTTTCAAGCGTTAAATTGGCCTACTTGATCTTTGAAGGGGCAAATCATGATTAAATTGAAACTTCAGGGGCCAAATTGTTATTAATTTTTTTCCCCTTCTCCATGTGATAGTAGATTCTTTCCTTTTATTTTTCATACTTTTGTGATATATTTGGTATCAAGTGAATAGAACTAGAAAGGATGATGAAAGACAACGTCCTTCAAGATAAATTCATCTTTAATTTATTCCTCTTCATGAAGTCAAAACGTGCATTCATCTTTAAGTAGATTGGCATAGTTTGACGGCAACCCACCTATGCAAGTGAGTTTAGGTCCACGACAATAAGCTTTTGTTTGGTACAAAGTTCTTCAAAACTCATTTTCAATTGTACATTCTTCCAATAAAATAATTTTGCTCGTGGACTCATTACTTTTCCGTACTTTTTAAACTAATGCTTCGAAAAAAAGATTACTTTTTACAAAATCTATTCTCAAACTATCTACATCAAACGGGCTCTGAGACTCAATTTCAACAACTTTTCTTACAATTCGCTCATTTCTATTTAAACAAGTCCCCCATCATCTTCACTTACGATGCTATTGATGTTGTTGCTAGTGCATTGAGCAAAAAATTGAAGGATCATGAGCTTAAAAAGACAAATAATAGAATGAGGAGAAAAGGGGAGAAGTCGGTTGCATGTAACGAGAATGGAGTAGGGAGAAAGTTGCTACGGTGGTGAGTGGCACTGAGTTAGGAGGCAAGATTTAGGGGTTGGGGATATAATGCAACGGTCACATACATGGTTGCGGTTGGTTATTCCCAAGAAAGATAAATAATTAACACGTGTTAACATGTACTAACAAATGCATGAAAAATAAAAAGTCGAGATATGTGTATAAAAACAGAAGATCGAGGATAAGGACAACAATAATCTAAATATAATACGTATAAACAAGATCTTCATATGCCATCACTACTCTTTTATGGAAAGAAACATAAACGTTGTAGCATAAAGTCATCATTAATGTATTCATTTTCACAAAGTGCACAATTTATATTTAGGTAGAATAGCATACGATGGTAGCAACCACCGGTGCCCTTGAGTTTAGGCAACATGAATTCTTCGATGACATTTCATACAATTCGCTCATTTCTATTTAAACCCTCCCTTGCCATCTAATTACAATCCATTGATAGCCATTGTTGTTGTTAGAACATTGAGAAAAAACAGCAAAATCGCTTGCTAAGAAATACATAGAATAGAATAAAGAAAATAAAAATCGTATTTCACCCTACAAGAGTAGTGTGAAGGATAAAAGTGCAAGGGTGGGAAGCGAGAATGGAGGCAGGGCTTAGGAGTCGAGGGCTATAACACAAGGGATGCGGAAAGGGGTTGTTATGGCTATTCACGAGAAATGTTTCCTCTTTTCTGTTTTTCACGGATGCATAAAAAAATTAAAGGTTAAGATTGACATGTAAAAGGGATAAAGATCGAGGACTGTGGTAGCAATTTTCTCTAAATAAAATACATGTAAACGGAAAGAAACATAAATACTGTAACATACAGCTGTCTGTAACTAATGAATCAAATAAAAATGAATGAATGAATTGTATATTATTTATCATCTTCACGTATATATATGTATATGCGTGTTATAGAGAGAGAGAGAGAGAGAGGGAGAGATGGGTCCTTAAAGATATGCCCAGAACCTACACCGAAGCCTCAGCTCAAAACCATATTTCGATTTGCAGAGAGAATCCGAAGGACTTCTCTTAACAAATCAAGAAAAGAAACACAGATACATAGATATGGTGAGAAAGGCACACATAGTTGTATGAAAAATATAGATATTATATGTATATATAAAGAAAAATGATTGTTCCATTCATATAATTCCAATCAAATTCCCCTCCTCTTTCTTCTTATCCAATACGTAAGTCCTCTTTATTATTATGATTATTCTTTATTCTTTATTTTTCTTTTCTTTCCCTGTTTTATCTGTTAGCTGTGATGTTGTTTGTTTAAAACACAATTAGTAGATCTATTGTCAATAATTTAATAGTGTTATAGGTAGAACAATGCAAGTTTAAAGCTTTGACTTTTATTTATTATATTCTAATATTTTTGATTAGTGAATGTTGTTTTGATCTGAATTTAGAGATCTTGAAAAGGTTTGCTGCTTTTTTGGGATTTATGCATGTTTAATTTGATCAAAAATTATGTTATTATGGTAATTTGAGTTTTTTTTTTTAAATCTGGGTCGCTCTCATTATTGACGAATTTTGTTGTTTGAGAAGGATTTTTGACCAATTTCATATTTTCATTGATTCCCATTTGATCCGATTTATAAATATTGCTGACTATGGATTATTGAACGTTATTGATGTAAAATTTATTCGTTTCCTGAAGCAAATTCATTATATAAGTTTTCTTTGATAATGGAACATTCACTCTGAAAATGGCGATGATGAATAAAGCTGAATAATTGATAGATTCCCTTTTTATTTCTTCACTTTGATAAATAGATGAATGTTTTATATGCATCCAAAGATTCTTTTTCTGTAATTTGACAAAATTCGTTTATTTTTCCCGGGATTTTGAGTCATCGCCTAATAATTCTTAGCAGTGGATTGCAGTTGGCTGTGGAAGAAAGAAGAACTTTGATTTGGTTCAAGGCCAAGGACGAGGGTTGAATCCAAAGACATGTTGGAAGACCAGCCTTGTTTGGTTTCAAGGGACTACCTGATGACCTGCAAGCAAGAAAGCAACTGGCCTTGCATGAGTTATAGGGTGGAAAAAATCGAAGCTCATGGTGGCAAGCGACTGTTAGAAACTAATGGGGAAGAAGAAGGTGCTAGAAAGGCATCTAAGCGGTCGAGTGATCATTTGGATACAGCTTTGTCAATTGGTGGAATTCTAATGTTAACTTCTAACCAATCTGGTAATCAGCGGCATGCAGGGGATAACTCTGATTCCAGTTCCCTAATTCCTGCTATTGGTCCTGACAACTCCATTAGTTGTCTTATTCGGTGCTCGAGATCTGATTATGGTGCTATTGCATCTTTGAACCGGAGCTTTCGCTCACTTATTAGAAGTGGTGAGCTCTATAAATTAAGGCGGAAAAATGGTGTGGTTGAGCACTGGGTTTATTTTGCTTGCCAGCTGCTTGAATGGGAAGCCTTTGACCCAAGTCGTCGCCATTGGATGCGATTACCGAGAATGGATCCCAATGATTGTTTTGTCTTTTCCGATAAGGAATCTTTGGCTGTCGGCACCGAGCTTCTTGTTTTTGGGAAGGATCTCATGTCTCATATCATATATCGATACAGTTTGTTAACAAATTTGTGGTCGTCTGGCATGAGCATGAACTCCCCTAGGTGTTTGTTTGGTTCGGCCAGCCTTGGTGAGATTGCAATTTTAGCTGGTGGTTGTGATGCTCATGGTAATATCTTCAGTTCTGCAGAGCTCTACAATTCAGAAACGGGAGCTTGGAGGACACTCCGAAGTATGAATAAACCAAGGAAGATGTGTTCCGCGGTATTCATGGATGGAAAATTTTATGTTGTTGGAGGAATAGGAGGGACTGATTCAAAAGTTCTTACATGTGGAGAGGAATACAATTTGGAAACCGAAACTTGGACTGAAATTCCCAACATGTCCCCTGTGCGGATGGGCGCAGCAGGGGAATTCGATGCACTGGCTACATCTGTAGCACCACCTTTGATTGCTGTCGTAAATAATGAGTTGTATGCGGCTGATTATGCTGACATGGAGGTGAGAAAATATAACAAGGATAACAGAGAGTGGGTTACCGTAGGAAGATTGCCAGAACGAGCAGCTTCAATGAATGGTTGGGGTTTGGCATTTAGGGCATGCGGAGATAGGCTTATTGTTATTGGGGGGCCTCGGACAGTAGGTGAAGGATATATTGAAGTAAACTCTTGGGTTCCGAGTGAAGGTCCACCTCAGTGGGATTTGCTCGGCCGTAAGCAATCTGGTAGTTTTGTTTATAACTGTGCGGTGATGGGATGCTGAAAATTTGCACGCTAGTGGTACCGTGTGCACTCAATGGTGTTTCTTGTGCTGATGATAAAAAGTTGCTTCCAGGAAGCTCAGGATTCATGCTAATGGGTAATTTATCCCAACTTTCTATTTCATTCTTTTCCGTTTCCGAGTGGGAGGAGGATAGAAAGAATCATCAAATTTTACTCAAGATTCAATTGCATATTTTCTTCGAGGTAGTCTTGGGTACATTCTTTAAAGTTAAACTAGTATTTTCTTTCTTTTTGAATTGTCATTACCACATTCACGCAACATAAGAGTTTTCAAAGTTGGATGTCACAAAGGAAAGAGAGATTTCCAATAACTTCAGGTAGAAATTTGTTGGTAGGTTTCAGTGTTATTGTTTTGGTGATGCTTTTCTTCAAAATTATAGAATTTACTCTCTTGGTCCAGGTCCTTAATTTTCTTGAAATTTTCTTGAAGAAAGAAATAATGTCTTTTAACATGTTTATTTTGAACATGGCACATGTAATAAATTCAATTAGTGTTGCACTTGATGGGGCTATAAATTGATTCTTTCCGTTTGGTACGTAGTTTTATGGAAGTTTTGGTATGATATTATTCTTCGTTTTTTTCTTATTATTAATAGTGTAGAGGAGGCTTTCATTGCTTAACATGAAGTGATTTTCTGATTGATTTCATTTATTTATATTTTGAGTTTCAGGTAATTTAAGGTTTCATTTTTAATTAGTCATTTGTATTTTAGAGGTCGAGATAGAGACCATGCTAAATTTGGCAGGACAATATATAGATAAAATTTCATACTAGGTGAAATCAAATAATTTAAAAGAAGCTCATTTTCTTATTAAGTTACAGCTGATACTCTAAGGGCACGTTGTTACTGTTTCTTTAACATCGACTCGGAATGAGGACCACCATCGGATTTTATAGTTTGTATGTTTGTACAATCCATCAACTTCAAGTTTTGCTAGAACTGATAGGTCTTGTTTAGTCCGTGTTTTGGATTTTTAATGCTTCGCTCATGACAGATTCATTCTTTTAAAGAAACTTTCAAGTATGAAAGATCCTAATGTGCACATATATTTGCTTGGGCATTCCTCTATATGCATTTTACACTTGCCCTCCTATACTCCTGCACGTTAATAAATTGAGATGTTGAAGATGATTTTATTTTTATGCTTTGCATTTTCTATGCCCACAAAATGATATCATATGCAATTGTCAGAATATTTCAATTACAAGTATGGACCTGTGCTGGGAATTTATGAATTTAGCTTATTTATCTCCTTAAGCTGTATTGAGCGCTAAGATATCCTTTCTTCTGGTAGTATTGGTTTGTGTTTCTTCAGTTGTCTTTCTGTTACAGGCTTTAGCAATGATGTTGATTGTTTTATAACTCGTGCACGTGCGATAGAATAATAGGCGATGTATACTATGTACATCTATGTTTTACGATACGTTTTGCCTCTTATGGTAATTTAGCTTTTGAGCATTGGGCATAGGATTTTTATAAGGCTTGTGTACTTTGTAACTTCTCATTACTTGATTAAGTGTCTTAGTGTATCTTACTCTAATGTCGTTTATCTCACTCTTGTTTGTTCCTACATTGTGTTGTGTGGATCGGCGATTTATGTTATAAGTGGGTTGATGCATAACGTCTCTTTACACTTTGTTAAATGATTTGGATCTGGTCGACAAGGGAGGCATTTCACGAGTTTGGAACATTGCGTCTGTGTAAATATATGACAAGCTCAAGTAAGACACCATTCTTCGGGTTCCTTTGTGGTTTTTGTTTTAAGTTTTACGGTTGTGCTATATGTGCATAATGATTTATATAATGTTTTAAATATACATAATGTGATGAATTATGATTGGATCAGAATTTCTTTAATTAAATAAATAAATAAAAAACCCCCCTTTCTTTTTGACATGCCATTTGTATGTAAACCATTATGTAACTCTATTATATATAAGTAGCATTATTCTAAGTTTTAGGGTCCGTTTGATTCAAAGATGGAATTTGGATAAAAAGAAAACGAATTGCATGGAATTGAATTACCTTGAACTTGTTTTACTGAGAATTGTCAATTAATAGTGTTTGATTAGTATATAATTTTCCACCTAAAAAATGTTGAAATTTTCTATCTTTTGGTGTTTGTTTGACTTTGTTTTTCATGAAAATTGTTAATTACGGGGATATAATTTCTTACAGTTGTGGATATAATTTGTTTGGATTGTCAAAAAAAAAAAATTTTGGAAAATTCTTGGTGTGTTCGTTTGACTTTGTTTTACATGAAAATTTTCAATTAAATGGACAATTTTTGTTTTTACAATTAGGGATAGAAAATTTGTTTCTATTGCCCAAAAAAAAAAAAGATGGAATTTCAATTTCCACCTAAAAGGTGAGAATTGAAATTCAACTAAAACCAAGAAAATGTGGCAAGATGGAAAATCAATTCTTGGGAAAAAAAAGTGCCATATGGCAAAAGTGCATATCAAACATGTCCTTATGTCTTTGAAAGAGCATTGGATAGTATCTCGAAATTGTATGACATAAAAATTCATTGATTCTTGAATACCCGCAATGAGAGAACAGAAACATGGACTACACGACTCTCAAAGGTCAACTCGACACACTTTCAGCAAATTTCGTCCTGCTGGTTATAAAATACTGTGTATATGCAGTCCTCGCCTGAATGCATGCCCATCTAATGTCGTACATAAGAATATTGAGTGTATATTTGGTTCGATAAATTATACATGATTGGATGGTATTAAGAAAGAAATACGTGAAAGTATTTGTTAGTTGTCGTGTTTAGTAAGAAATAACTTATTTTTGCAAAATTCATCGTGTAGAGTAGACTATTTGCATTTTGGTTAAACAAGGCTAACTCTTAAAAAATAGTGGAGTCCCCAATATGGTCCGTAAGCTTCTTTAAAATTCGGGCTATTGCAAGAACGAGCCCAACCCAAATATATTATGAAAAATGGAGATTACACCATAGCTATTAGACCCGACTCGGATATCGACTCAATCAAGGTTAGCGGTGACAAAAAATCTCGGAGGCTCGGACGGCCAGGGCTCGCTCGGCTCGGAAAAAGCCCAAGACGGGCCCTGCTCGGGCTCGGTGGAACCGAGCCCAAGCTCGGGCCGAGCCCCACTTTGGGGAGTCAGCTTGGGCTGGCCCGTGGCCCGGGCTGGCCTCCATTATAAAAAAAAAAAATTAATTTTTTGCAGCAGCAAGTTGCCTGTTGCAGGCAGCTAAAAGCTATTTTTAGCTGCCTGCAAAGGCAGCTAAAGAAAGAAAGAAA